AATGAAAGAATTTAATATACTGCCGGTATTCGCGTTTTGTAAGGATGAACAACTTAGTCGCCCCGATAACCGGTCTGCCTAGGTAGAAATATTGCCCAATATTAAACATTTCTTACCGTGAAATATGTCTTATTTATTTAGTATTGCAAGCAATTCTGCTATCAAACGATGCTTTGACGTTACATCTCGTTTTCCATAGCTGGCTCGGCCAGTGGAATTTCCCGCAAAACAAATGCATTGAACGCTCAGAGACTTTTAGGAAATATTATCAAACCAAGTCAAGATTAGCTCTGTGAGTTCTGACAGCTTCTTCAGAATAACCAGGGGTGGTTGTGAAAATAAAACGTGGCAAAACCATACAAAATCTTTTAGACCTGATCTCCGATTCAGTAGTTGCAAACGGTGAGAAAGTTGCATCGTCCAGTAAGTAGCGAGCAAGTAAATAAGTTCCTAAATATTAGCAAATAACACTGAATGGCCCTCCATCTCGGGAAAGGAGTTAAATCAATATCTGATCTGTCGATTTACGGTTATGGCCCATTTATGATTAAGAAAGCTGTTTTTAGCCAAACAACATCCTCAATCGTGTGATATGGCATGCCCACTGTCGGAATCTTTCTATTCAAACTGATTTTTCCCATCTACTTTAACATAACATATTTTTCCCATACTGAATGGAAAAAACGAGGAGCTGAATTATTAACAATGCACCGAAGGTCGAAGAGATTCAGAATCAGATTGGAAATTAAATAAGCACTATGGCGATACCATTGCACTTACTGCCACAGAATGGCCAACAACACCACAGACTGCACTGTAAAGGGCATGACCAGCCGCGTTCATCAAACTTATTTTACAGTTTTTTCGCATGTGGAATTCTAATTTTCAGCAAAAAGAGAAACTGTACGATAATAGCGGAAATATCACAGCGATACTCAGCTTAAATATCCTTAATCCAAAAAGTATTTAAAATGCAGAACTTGCAAGATAGGTGGATTGTAACGCGATCAAAACAGTCATACTCAGCGGCTTATAGTTTAGGACCGATAAGTGGATCGCTGTAGATCAGATTAAAGATTAGCAGGTTACAATAAAAATTATAATGAAGATTCGTACAGGAAACGAAACAGAAATGACAGGGAGGCCGATATGCAACCGAAATGGATATAGACAATTTCATTATCAATGTTTGTGCTTCGGTTTAATTTTTGTTCTGTTGTTTGCTTATTTTGCTGAAAAACGTGACTGCTTTTGTGGCATGTAACAGTTAAAAGGCAATCAAATATTTGTAGTGATGATACATACTAGAATGAC